CTCACACACACAACCTTCTTGCCATCTTTCTTTGGTTCATGAACTTAACTTCAAAACATTCAAGGCATCATTAGTGAATCCATTGTCTCCATCCATAGAATTTGACCATGATCAAATTAAATAACTCTGGATAAGGCAGACAATAAATCAATTATCTTTACAGCATTATCATTTTTTTAAGACTGCCTGGTCAATAACATCTTCCAGTCATCTTTACTCCTTGATCTTCCCTGCATGTTGTCAGCAAATAGAACATAACAAGATCTGCTCCAAATCATGGGTACTGTTTGGGCTGATCGTTTCTTTTTGATACTTACTCACGAAGCAAAATGTGTGCAGGGTCTTTTTTGCTTTAAGGAAACTATTTTGCAAATAGATGGGTAAATTTACTATTTCATCCATTAACAAATGACAGAAAAGTATTCAGAATTTTATAGACAAAAACAGGAAAACATCAGTATGATTGGCGTTCAAGTTAGCCGATCTAAAAAATACGATCTTTAATATGTATTTTATGGCTTTTCAAGTGCATGTATAATTGCTTTTCAAAGTTGACGGACTAACAAAACAAGCAACTATCTCACCTGTGAGAAGCGATATGTTCCTTTTGTGGAAACTACGACATCCAACAATTGAACGATTGAAGTGTTGGCAATATAAAAGAAAAAGCCAAAAAGATATCGTCACAGAACATAGAACTAACGATATCCTTATTCTGTGATATCGTGTTTGTTTTTGAAAAATTCTTTATAATTTACTATAGACAGCAGAGGGAGGTCGAGAATATTATTTTTCTGTAAAGCGATCATTTCAGCGGAAATACATCCTTTGGCCGCCATTTTTTTGGCGTCAGATCCCAGTAAAGTTAGCAGCTCTAGTTATTACAGAACTCAATGGTCTAGGCATGTGTATTGTAAGTTAGCCTTCCAGTTGTTGTAGAGTTCACTGGATATATCGGACACCACGTGCCAGCGCTTCTTTTGCCCAGCTAACTCATAAACAAACGGCAGACATGCGCTTTATAACACCATTCGATTAAGGAGGTGCTTATTTTGATGTAGTTTGTCTACGAAACTAGTTTTGAACGATATTTTGTGAAGTTGTTAATCTTGAGTTTGTTTTGGCAAGACATAAACTACGGATTAACAGCATGATATTGAACGACGTTTTAGACATCCTAGAAAGGTGTATTTATGTGCTTGAATATTGATTCGGAGCTTTCTGCCTTTTCGAAACCTGATTTTGGAGGTCTGTCTTATTCTGTGCACGATGAACAAAGAGAAATCTTCAGCAACTTACATGATGTCGACCTAATTGAAATTGATAAGGTAGAGGAAACGGTCGCTCAGCCTAGCAAAATACCAGCATACAACTTTTCAAACACTAAACGGTCGAACGATGAGTACGAGGGAGAAATACGACCTGGTGCCTTTACACAAGATGTTAGTCCGCTGTCTTTCGATTCAAAGGACCCATTACTGCGGTAACATGGATGAACAACCGTGTTGTGAATATGGTTTCTTCTCAAGCAATACCATCTGATACTGCTACAATTGCAGTAAAGCGATGAAAGAAAGATGGCAATACAGATGATGTTCAATGTCCAAATATGATTGTATCATACAAAAATATATGGGTGGAGTTGACAAGAATGACAAGATGAACTCATATTATGGTATCAAATCTAGGTCGAAGAAATGGTGGCTGAAAATGTTGATATTTGAGTGATTCGTTATAATAAGAAATCAGGAATACATAGAATAGAAATGTAATTAATAGAAAAAAGAGTTCATGGCTTCCCGTATAACATAACATCTGCTAAGATAAAATCAATACTTCATGCAATAATATTATAATGTAACATTACATAATCAATAATACTTCATATTGCTAACACTCCCACTTAATGTGCAGTATAAATGTTCTTAAGAATTATGAATTTTAAACTAAAATTTCTTTGACACCTAACATGTCTCGAAAGTTTTGGAATGTTTGCTTTGGTAAACTTTTCGTCATAATATACGCTAACATCTGATCTATACTACAGTATTGAACAATAATGGAATTATCGTTGACCTTTTCTCTAACAAAGTGATACGCAACGTCAATATGTTTAGTGCGATTGTGAAATCGAGTATTCCTCGAAAGTTCAATTGCCCCTTGGTTATCTTCGTTCAGTATAGATGGTTGATCTTGATTTATTCCAATATCCGCTAGTGAACGTCGTAACCATATGATTTCTTGTGTTGCATAACTTAGTGCAACATACTCAGCTTCAGTCGAAGATCTTGCCACAAGATTGTCGCTTGCTGCTCCAGCTGACGGTTGATTAGTTTATCTGGAACACGTATCCTGATGTAGATCTTCTTGTATTTACATCACTTGCCCAATCAGCATCTGAATATCCAACCACTTCGCATGTTGAATCTTTGCTTTGAAAAACAAGACCATAATTGATAGTGCCTTTTAGGTATCTCAACACTCTTTTGCTCCTGCCAATGCTCCTTTCCTGGCTTTGACATAAATTTTGAAAGAATACCTACAGCAGATGCCAAGTCATGTCGAGTTGCTGTTGTCACGTATGTCAAACATCCGATAAGTTTTGATATTCATGAATATTTTGCGGTCTCTTCTTTGGGCAGATTCTGAAAATGTTTTCCAGGTTCTAACGGTCTCGAAACAGGTTTGCAATGTTCCATGTTGAATCGTTTCAAGATTCCTTCCAAATATTTTGATTGACTAATTGTCAATTTTCCCCTTTTTCTGTCTCGTTTGATCAGCATACCAAGGACATGTTTGACTTCATTTAAATCTTCAACTTTGAACTTTGATGGAATGGCTTTCTCCACCTTCAGCATTTTCGTAGAATTGGAAAACAGGAGAATATCATCAACATGAATAGATAGTATCACGAAATTCAAATTTCCATCTTGCTGTTTAATAGATTTCACGTACAGACATGGATCACAGCTCATTTGATTGTATCCTTTTGACTTCAGGTATGAGTAGATGGCGTTGTTCCAACATCTGGCTGACTGTTTTAAACCATACATGCTTTTTTTCAATTTGCAGACATAGTCAGGAGGCTCCTTACTAATATAACCTTCAGGTTGTCGCATATAAATTTCTTCATCCAATTTTCCTTGTAAAAACGCTGATTATCTACCAGGATAAAGGAACATACTCACACAGACAAAAAATCCACTATCTTCAAACATCTTCAAGCCTCTCCTTCATGTAAAAACAAATTCTCACCTTCCTGTTTTAAAATCATCGACACTGATCAATCCACTTTCTCACTCAAAATCAAGGAAGCTCTACACATTAATAAAACTAATCCCAATTTAAATATCCAAGTTCACCACTACAACACTATATTCACTTTATAATAATATTATTTGTTATAAGTTCTTAATACTTATTTTTCTTTTCCTTTTTTGTAAATATTTTATAATTTTGTAACTAAATCATAATCTTATTCATTGTAATTAATTTATTCATATCATATTACGTATCATATTACTTAACACTAACCATTCTGCACTGAAGATGGCATTCTGATAATGTCGAAACATGTTTGCTCTCAAAAAAATCGTCGACTATATAACCTTTTTTATTTTTATTGCAACGCTTTTTCACTCAAATACTGACCTTCTACGTCCTGGGCCCATAACCTGTTGATATTTGAGTGATTCATTATAATAAGAAATCAGGAATACATAGAATAGAAATGTAATTAATAGAAAAAATAGTTCATGGCTTCCGTATAACATAACATGCTAAGATAAAATCAATACTTCATGCAATAATATTATAATGTAACATTACATAATCAATAATACTTCATATTGCTAACACTCCCACTTAATGTGCACTATAAA